AACAATACATTTTTATTCATCTAACACTCAAAAATATTATCATTTTGGTATTAGTCGTGAGACTGCCTTGTTTAGATCGTTTTGCTAAGGGCAATTCCAACCCTTATTAGCATTATAAGGTTCAAGTCTTTCTTGCATTTCCTGTTAGTAAACAGTTTCCACTCCTTTTTTTTTTCTTAAATTAAATTATATCAGAATTTTATTCGAAAATTTAAATGTGGATTAAATTCTTCAATGAAGGAATGAGGGATTAACCATCTCAGTCTTTCCAGTCCCTTTATTTTAAGTCTTTAAATGAAGGAAATAAATATTGTTAATGGCTTCTGCTCTTAATATAACAGCAGCATTTATGCTGTCAGGGAATACTATCATCTCTCTAATTCCTAATCTTCTGAAAGAAATTGTGATGTTCTTAATAAACTATAATTAAATAAGATTAATTCCTATTGTCCTTCAACGATAAAATGCATCTCTATTACAACAATGCATAAATAAAAAATTCCTGACTTTAACAATATTGAGATAAAGTCCCCTTTCTTATATTTTAAATAATTGTAAAACTTTATACATTAAAGTAATGTAAATTATTTCTAATTTGATTGACCGGAAACTCAAACTTTAGTAAGTCATCTTAGAAAATAAGATTGCAAAATCAAATTTGAAATTGCTATTAATTATTTCACAATATATAAAAAAATGCCATCATTATCATATTTTATGGATCGAAGTTGGTAAAATTTGATCCTTAAAAATTAATCTGAACTAATTGATTCTACTTTCGTAACAAATAAATATTTTCAAATAAATGATATTTAGAAAATATTCATTCGATACTTAAATTAATTTTCAAAATAAGCAAAATATTGTAAAAGTGCCTTGATTAATTCATTTATTAAAATTAGTTTTGGTCATAATTGGAATGGAAAACTGAAATAAAATTACATAAAAGCTTAGAATGATATAATAATTCATCTTAATTAATATCAAGTTCTATTGGTTTATTTGATAATCAGCAAAGTAAACTGATTGATAGGTTGATAGATTTAAGTTTAAGTAATTCACTATCGTTTGTATAGCCTTACTCATAGCTCTATTTGGTTCTCTATTTTGTTAAACACTCTCCATTGATGGGGCCAAATTGCATTTTTTAATTGATTCTGCCAATTTAAATAGTTATTTGAAAGATTTTATATTATATATTCTGTTAAACCATAAATTGGATTGTTTCTATAACAGACCTCACAATTTTAAAATCTTCTAAGTCTCGAATTAAAATCATTCAATTATTGGTATCCACAGTCCTATTGTGATTTTTCAATTTCTTTAAGACCCTACTCAGTCTCATTTAATACTTTTCTTAAATGTTATTCCTCTATAATTAACCTATGACCTAATTCTCAATTTCTCCAATTTACAATTTTAAGTATCTTATAATTCTAGTTGTTCTTCTTCAGATCAATTTTTTTATCTTTCTGTCCACACATCTATTATTCTATCTCAGCGCAGACTATTTTGATTCATCAAATAAATTGTGCATTTTTAGTTAAATTTTAAATTTCTAAGGTTATAGAATGAAATCTAGAAGTTGATGTATTGAAAAGGTGATGAGTCATTATAACTTCAATCAAGAATTACTGAGTGAATCTATTGGAAATTAATCTGTAAAGTCGGGGATAAATATTTTCAATTACTCGATAAAGTGAATTATCTTTAGAGACTAAGCCGACAATAAATTAAAAAATAGAAGCTTCAAGGTTATAAGAATTGTATTTCAAAAATAAACAGAAAAAAAAATACATGTATCTTATGCTCTTAAAAATGGAATAATCAAAAAAAGAAATTTATAAATAAGATTGATAAATATTGAATATAATAATATATGAAAAATTTAAATAACCTATAATAATCTAGTCAAGCAAATTTTTATGGACAAAAGAGCAAAGAAATATCAAATAAGGATAAATTAATGATGCATATTTTCTTAGCGATTGCTTTATACTAAATGAATATTTTAGAATAAAGATTGGAGTATTATAGTTCCAGTACATACAAATTATGTAAATGGGATATTATATTTTCATTTTTTTTTTCTATTCTTTTTAAAATTTTTAACATCTTCGATGACTTCATTANAATAACTTGTTAACTATCTTGAGTTTAAAATAAATAACAGTTTTCATTTTGTTTAAATAATTTACTCATTTTATAATAATAATAATAGAAAATCAATTATTTCTAAACTTCACAATTATCATTTCTTTATGAAAGTCTGAAGAAATCGTTTACCTTAATCATATTAAGTTTAATTTAGAAATCTACCTTTTGTAACCAATTATAAAACATAGATTTATTGTTTCATATGCAAAGCTAAAGTCATAAATAAAAAAAATCATTAATAATTATAAAAGGGAGTAAAGCAACTTGAACTTTATACATATCTATATAAATATTGAGATAAAGTCCCCTTTCTTATATTTTAAATAATTGTAAAACTTTATACATTAAAGTAATGTAAATTATTTCTAATTTGATTGACCGGAAACTCAAACTTTAGTAAGTCATCTTAGAAAATAAGATTGCAAAATCAAATTTGAAATTGCTATTAATTATTTCACAATATATAAAAAAATGCCATCATTATCATATTTTATGGATCGAAGTTGGTAAAATTTGATCCTTAAAAATTAATCTGAACTAATTGATTCTACTTTCGTAACAAATAAATATTTTCAAATAAATGATATTTAGAAAATATTCATTCGATACTTAAATTAATTTTCAAAATAAGCAAAATATTGTAAAAGTGCCTTGATTAATTCATTTATTAAAATTAGTTTTGGTCATAATTGGAATGGAAAACTGAAATAAAATTACATAAAAGCTTAGAATGATATAATAATTCATCTTAATTAATATCAAGTTCTATTGGTTTATTTGATAATCAGCAAAGTAAACTGATTGATAGGTTGATAGATTTAAGTTTAAGTAATTCACTATCGTTTGTATAGCCTTACTCATAGCTCTATTTGGTTCTCTATTTTGTTAAACACTCTCCATTGATGGGGCCAAATTGCATTTTTTAATTGATTCTGCCAATTTAAATAGTTATTTGAAAGATTTTATATTATATATTCTGTTAAACCATAAATTGGATTGTTTCTATAACAGACCTCACAATTTTAAAATCTTCTAAGTCTCGAATTAAAATCATTCAATTATTGGTATCCACAGTCCTATTGTGATTTTTCAATTTCTTTAAGACCCTACTCAGTCTCATTTAATACTTTTCTTAAATGTTATTCCTCTATAATTAACCTATGACCTAATTCTCAATTTCTCCAATTTACAATTTTAAGTATCTTATAATTCTAGTTGTTCTTCTTCAGATCAATTTTTTTATCTTTCTGTCCACACATCTATTATTCTATCTCAGCGCAGACTATTTTGATTCATCAAATAAATTGTGCATTTTTAGTTAAATTTTAAATTTCTAAGGTTATAGAATGAAATCTAGAAGTTGATGTATTGAAAAGGTGATGAGTCATTATAACTTCAATCAAGAATTACTGAGTGAATCTATTGGAAATTAATCTGTAAAGTCGGGGATAAATATTTTCAATTACTCGATAAAGTGAATTATCTTTAGAGACTAAGCCGACAATAAATTAAAAAATAGAAGCTTCAAGGTTATAAGAATTGTATTTCAAAAATAAACAGAAAAAAAAATACATGTATCTTATGCTCTTAAAAATGGAATAATCAAAAAAAGAAATTTATAAATAAGATTGATAAATATTGAATATAATAATATATGAAAAATTTAAATAACCTATAATAATCTAGTCAAGCAAATTTTTATGGACAAAAGAGCAAAGAAATATCAAATAAGGATAAATTAATGATGCATATTTTCTTAGCGATTGCTTTATACTAAATGAATATTTTAGAATAAAGATTGGAGTATTATAGTTCCAGTACATACAAATTATGTAAATGGGATATTATATTTTCATTTTTTTTTTCTATTCTTTTTAAAATTTTTAACATCTTCGATGACTTCATTATTTGATTGGATCTTATATATATATATAGCCATTTATAAATCCATTCCATAATAACAGTCTCTATCTTCAGAATATTGTATATATTTCTGTTCATTTCTTGCTATTAACAGAGCTTTATAAATATCACAGTTTTGGATTAGATATGCTTTTTGTTTAATTATTTTTCTTTCAATTTTTCTATTGCTTATCCTATATAATATTAACATACTATCTTATTTACAAATGTAATTTATTTCTTCATATTTACCTAAATTGAAGTACATGGAATGCTTCAATTAAATTAATAAAATGACTTTAGGCTGTAATTTGTCTAAATTAATCAATTGTAGGCAGTTAGGAATGAGCTTTATTTTAATCGAAAATAAGTATCCAAATTATATATTTACTTATAAATCCAATTTTGATTTTCTATTGTAAGAGACAGCTTTTTGTTATTACCTAACCATTTTAGTATTTCTTCATCTTATTCAAAAATACAGTCTTCAGGAAGAAAGTTCTTGCCATCACCTTTTGGATCTTGTTTTCTATAGAACGATGTGTGACTTCTTTATAGTCTTGTGCTAGTCTTTATCCATCCTTAAAATAATTCATAATAGATTCTTCTTTTTTAAAAGGTTGAGATTTTTGTAAGTTAAATCAAATTATCAAATTATTTTGATTCTAGTGAAATTAATAGTGCTGACACACATTTTAATAAATCCAAAAAAGATTTTGATTATACATCATCATATTTTATAACTTTTAGTTCGAAGTATCTTGGTTTATTATAAATATCATTTAAGTAATCTTCATTTCCATATATATGAATTCCTTTCATTTAGAACATAGGTATCATAATAAGTTTTCTTACTTTAATTACAAGTTTATTTTTATTGGTCTAGGTGTCTAACTTTTTTGTCAGAGGAGTGTTGGACCTACTTCTTAATTAATATTTTTTTGTATTTTTTCTTTTGGGATTGATTTTACTTTTTTTTTTTGTTATTATAATTTAACTGATGATATGGATAAGAGAGTTTCTAAGTTAAATTCATTCTTAGTTGATCATGACAGGTTAATTTAAAAAAATACTATTTATAAATTTTGTTAATTTATTCTTAAAATTAGTTATTTCTTAGTTTTCAATTTTTATACCCTTTCACTCATGATATTGTTTTTACAAGTGTAGTTAAACGGTTTCTTGCTCTCTTTTCTGTGTAGAATGAGAACCAATTTTATTTAAATTCTGATTCTTGGAGTAGAGCTACATTAAACTCCTTTATGAATTAATATTTTTTCCATTTCATAGATTGTGCATTCCACATGAGCAATTAAATTGTGGAAGAGATAGATATTTTTTTATTTTATTAGATGTCTTATTTAATCTCTATTTACTTTCCATACCCTTGATGTACAAGTTATAAATTATGAAAAAGGCATCTTAAAGTTGAAACTGCGATAATTCATTTTTTTTTGAGATTTATTTATAAAAAGTGGACACGTCACAATTAAAATTTTTTAATTAATTTTTACAATTAAATTTTAGCTTGAACGATGTATAAATGCTTTTCTGTCTGAATTAAAATCAATCACAACAGAATTCTCAGAAAAAGCTTTGTGAAAATCATCCAATTAAATATATTGGGCTAAATACTTAATAAGTTTATGAACTTTTGATATTTAACTTGGCTAAGTAATCAAAAACTTATTAATTTTCTAATTTTAATAAATAAATCAGATAAGTTGAACAAAATTTCAAATTTCTCTAAAAATTAAAAATGCAATTAAAAAAAGTTGATAAGTTAATTATTTTCTATTAGCTATCATTTGCTTTTTCTAATAAATTAAAAATCAATTGAAGTGTGCAGTCCTCTAATAAAATTTTAATTAAATGGATGAATAAAAAATAATTAAATATATTTGAAATAGTATGAGTATGTTATTATTTTTTGATAATAATAATAACAATTGACTGCTACTCAATTAAATGCAATTATATCAATAATTTTATTTCTAAAATATATAATTTAAGTATTTATACTCCTTTAACTCATATCAATTAAATTTAGAAAATGTCAACAAAATAATTATTATCATTATTTAATACAACAAACTAATGAATTTAATTGAACGATGTTTAACAAGTGGTTCAGCATCCTAAGAAATTGCCTTTAGTTAGAACTTTAATAGCATACTGTTATCCTTATCCAGATTTACTTTTTTTTCTGTTCTTCAACTAGAATTTATTTTAGATTATTTGTAAATTCTACATCTCAAAAATGATCCTCTAACGATTTATAATAGAATAATTATACAGAAGAATACATGAACTTAAAATTTCATATTTAGTTCAGAATAGAATTTAATGTTTAATTGTGTCTGAACGATTAGTTATAAAAAATCAGTTTTAGTCGTGTATGTTGGATAACGTATTGAATTTTTTGATAATATTTAAATTTATATTTTGTAAAGTAAATTTCTAATTACTCTTTTGAATCATCATAATTTGTACTTTATAACATTACTTAAATTATTCCTTTTCTCATTGTAAGTAAGTTAAATAAATAGACTTACAACATTTTCAATAAGATTTTTAAGATCTTATTGTTTAATATTAATTGAAAATAAGATTCGATATCCGAATTCTTTAAAATTAATTAAAAATGATAATCTTGCCAAATTAGATGACAATTTTTGACTATTTTTCTGTATCATATCTCAAGTTTATATACAGTAGAAAAGAAAAACACCAAATTTAAGTTTAATTGATTAAATGTATTTGTCCTTAGGCATTTGTGAATTTGAATTCTGTCGGGGAAGTAAGTGTGATTGATCAAAATTGTCATTTAGACAACTATAATAAATTGAAGCAATAACTGTTTATTTTATATGATAGACCCTCCTTAATTTAATTTCTGGTTTCTAAGAATCTCCAATAACATTTTTTTAAACTTCCTTTATGTTTTTTTGTTTAGAAATGAGGAAGAGAAAATGATTGTTATCTCTTTTTTATTACCACTAACCTAGCTTATTTATGCTTTTATTTCTCAAATTTAAATATAATATGTATAATTTGAAACATTTCTATTCATTTAGATTAATTGGGCTATATTTTAAGAAAATGTGAGATACCTTATGAATTATATTGCTAATGATATTTTCGTTTTTCAAGCTAAACCAAATACTAAAGTATCCATTTTTAGGTATATACTTTTTTAGTAAAATTATTTGATCAAAAATCCTATTATTGTTAAAGAAATGTTGTTCACTTCATAAAAATCTAATTTAGTACTTTGCCATTTGTAATTAATTATCATGAAACATTTAGAAATTCATATATTCATAACTATTTAAACAAGATGGAATAAAGGGTTAAATAGCTTAAGAAAATTTAATTATAAACAGATTGGATTTTTCTTAGTAAAGAAAAATAAGAACCTCAATAACTATCTTTTTAAACAATTAAACTCTCATGTAAAATGTTCTATTTCTTCCAAAAAGTCATTGAAGTAATGATGATGTTTCAACTAAAATAGCAGTCATATATTTTAATAAGAATTCAAAAAGGATAATTATACAATAAAATCAATAAAGCTAAGATCTCTTGGATAAAATTTTTATATAAATATCTTAAAGTAATAAAATTCTATTTTTTCTAGAATCTTTTGACTCATTGAAAACAAAATAATTCTTTGACTACATCTAATTTTTTGGATTTACTCTTGACATAAATATTGCCCGAACTATTTATCATTAACTTAATTTAAGCTAGTATATCTATCTCTAGTGAAGAATGATAATCATTTGAAAATAAATTCTATTTTTACTTTTACCGCGTTTCCAAATTTATCATTACAATCATCATTAGCATAAAGATTATTCTAACCAACAATTATATCTTTAACAATTGAATTGACACAATTTTGCCTTGTACTATGATGCATGAAACTCCATTCATTAGGTGTTGCCATTAGTTTAGATCCAATCTTAATTTTCTCCATGTTTTGTAATATGGAACCCCAAATTCATGAGAACCTCTAGGAATATAATATTCATGTTGATGATCAGAAGGTTCCCTTCATTCCTTCTCTGTAAAATTACCCCAAATCATATAGTATCTTGGATTAAAATCATCAGAAGAAAGAATTATTCCAGAGCTTTTTGCAAATTATTCTCCAGCAATTCTATGTAATCTATTTTCCAGTTACAATATTTATATAAAAATTACTATGCAGCTATGATGTTTTATATTTATTATTAAATCTCATCATTGGTTCTACCCTAAATTAAAAAATTAATTTCAAAAATTTCCTTTATTACTCATAATATTTCAACTTAATCAATTAGAATTGATAATGAGCTTGATAATTTCTAGTCTTACATAAAATTTATCATAATCAAGTTATTTATTTCTAATCTTGAAAAAGATTAATCTTAACCAAAATTTATAAAATTAAATCCAATCCAAAAGAATATATTTTACTTGTTTTCAATAACTATATAATTAAATCTCATAATAAATATTCTTTTAAAACATAAAGCATCAATTCAGGATTTGAGGTTTCAATATTCTAAATTTAATGAGGAATTGATTTTGTTTTACTAAATCAATATAATTTTATGAATAATAATTACTAATATAGTTGTTTTTAGTATTTCTTTTTAATCCTTAGTAAGAATATTATTATAATCTANTATAATGATAAATAATCTAGAATTTAAGTTTTTATAATCCTTTGGAATTCTGTAATACACAGAATTATTAATCAAACTAGAAAATTTCTTTCCAAATCATGAATTACCAATCTTTAATCAATAGATAGTTTAATTAATTTTTTCTGCTAAATTTGAGAGAAATGATTTTATAAAATGATATTATTTATTGTTACATAAAAAATGTGCCAACGACTGTTTAGATACTTTGGTCTTTTTTCTGATTCTCATTTAGATTAAAACCCCATACCTAAATAAATTACAAGAGTGGCTTATAAGTAATGATAGAAACTCGTTTAATAGAAGTTAAAGGATGCTTAAACACATTGAAATATTATGGTAAAATAGGATTTCAAGCCTTTTTATACCTTTTGAGTGTTCTAGAACTTATCTTTACATTAATTTATAGCTCATATAATAACATTAGTGATGAAACTGCATACTATGAGATCTGCTATAATTTATCTATAATTTTATGTGTTTTAATTCATAGTGGAGTTTGGATGTATCTTTATCATTTCAAAAAAGTAGCTGAACAAAGTTTTTTTGTTGAAATAACTAATTATATATATTATTTGGTTTTTGGAATATTAAGCTATTTTAAATTAGCTCCATTTATTATTTATTATAACAGAGATTAATCAATTGGATAATTCTCATTCAGTTAAATTAATAAATACTTGCTATAAAGTTAAGAAGATAAATAAAGAAATCCATGTAGGCTTTTCAAAGATAGAAAAAACCTGTCAATATCTTTAGGAACTTTATATTCCATCAAGTTGCTCTCCTCTCAATTATGATAATGATTACTTTTTAAACTATTCCTTAACTAGTAATATAGGGCTTATTTAATTAATTAAAAGGATCATGGGAGGGATTTAATGTGTTTTGTTATGGATTATTAGGAATTAATTTTATTAATTTTATTTGAATTTTAATTCATCTTATACTCCACATCTAATAGTCAATTGCAAACCTAAATAAATTATAAAAGCAGTATTAAAATATTTAATTTCATTTTATTGATAAATATGAATAAGATACTTTGAAGTATTTAGCTAATTGTTTTAAATTCATTAATGTAGACAAAATATGTCTTTTATATCATGAAGAAAAAAATTTAATACTTTTGAAGGGTATTTTTAAAAGTATCCCAAATCTAAAATTTTACCCTTAAGCCTTACAATATTTTGATTATTTATGGTTGGTTAAAGATGCTTATGAAGAATAGAACAATAAATAAGAAATACAATTTATTGGAAATCCAAAAATAACTGTAGGTTGGTAAGAAGAATAAAAATCTTAATTTATTAAAAATGAGTATATAACA